AGTATATGCTTATAATTTGAAGTACTTTACATACTGCAGGGTAGTTTGTGAATTTTCCAGCAGAGATTAAGTTTTATGACTATTCTGTATTCTTCTATTCAGTAATTTTTGTATTAATCTGGTTTTGAAAAGTAACTAATAAATAAAGTTCTAAAATAAATGTAGTGGAGTAAAAAGTACAATATTTGCCTGTGAAATGTAGTGAAGTCAAAGAATTAGCACAAAGTGAAACTATTCAAAACTGTACTTAAGTACAGTACTTGGGTAAATGTACTTAGTTACTTTCCAGCACTGCCCACCATGACTAAATTAATACAACTGAAAGAGGAAACAATTGGATATTAGAGCTGTACTGATCCAGTCAGGCAGGCAATATATTGGCTAATACTGGCTTCAGTGTATATGTGGGCCTAGAAGTAACAATTTCTTGTTACTACAGAAATGCCAAACTAGGCTTGAGGTGATTTAAAAATAATGTCAGCATTACAAAGTTTGTGCACCTGAGAGCACCAACAAGTGGATTTTCCCTCATATCACTACAAACCTATTTCAGAGTTCATCTTACAATCATAAGCTTACGTATATCATAGCCACACAGCTGCTGTCTGTCCCTAGCGTAAAAGACAGAAATAGGAAAGAAAGACTTTATTGTTTTCTGCTGCAGCCAAATGAAATAGTTTGCAGAGAGAAATCACACTGAAGAAGCTTCTGTTTCAGACTGAATTTAAGGCTGCAGTCTATGATAAATGATTCTTTTACTGTCTGTTTTTAGTTCATATTGATTACTGTTCTTATCCTTCAGTGTTCTTAAACCTTTTTGACCTCTCATACGTTATGACCTTTTAGTTTTGTGTTTCTTGGATGCTACAGTACTCTCCTAAATACTGCTATCAAAAATCTAGTAGAGCTGGACTATACTTTAAAATGTTACTGACAATGAAACTATACTTAATCTGAACCAGTCATGCTAAGGTCAATATACGATCAGCTAAAGAAGCTCAGTACAAGAGCTGGGGTGAATCGCTACCATCAGCAGTCGTTCGTCTCCAAGTCACTGCAACGTTTTGACTGTTGAAGTGCAGAGCCACCATGTGACAGTGACATTCAATGATCACACAGGAAAAATCAATCTCAGAGGAGGCAGACAGACCCATTTCTTTACACTGACAGTAGCCTCAGTTGAACAGAAAGCAATGAAGCTGCAAGTTACACGTCTTCTGAAATGGGAAATTCCTGGCTGCTATTAGTCTTGACAAGTGCATGTAAAGCTCGTATGTAAAGGCAACAGAGCCATTTGGATGTCAAAAAGTAGAAAGAGCAGGTTGAGAAGAACATGGACAAATCAAGAGAAAAACCACAACAAAAGCCAGGAAATCAGTGACCATTAAAGCTTGTACTGAAATCTGGCAGTGTTTAGAAGAACTCAAAAGATTAGCTCATTCTACTGCGGCTACTTTAAAAATCTATTCAACTGGACCTGAAAGTTAATCAGTAAATAATTACCTAGTGAGGAATACTAATCAGCAGTCATTTTGCTCTCACTGCTGTTGTCTCCACTCAGTGATTACTTTTAGGCAACTTTGCTCTAGAATCTGCAAATATGAAATCGATGCGACTGTTTTGTCCCGATGAAACTTCACTGACATAATCAACTAAACCGTGATGAGCTACAGCACAAGAAACCCAGATATTCGCTGGACAAACTGTTGTTTGTTTTGCTTTTAATTATCAGTCAATAGCCTGATTATGGAAAATGAAATTACATTCAACATTTAGACTTTGTTTCACAACTTAACAAGTAGCTGCTTAATTTTATTTTCATTTTAATTTGAGTGTGTTCTTCTTTGCCACTGAACACAACTGATAACAGCTACTATTTTTAAACAAACTACACGTAACCAGCTGTTTGCCAAAACAGGCCAATCTAAAATCAGCAGTGGACGCCCCTTTTAGTCACCTGGGGGGCTTTACAGGACGCGATACTGGCAGCCACAGCCTGATGGATCCAAGCTGCACCAGTCTGCCTCTGTGAAGGGCTCCTGTAGCTTAACACACCTTCACTGCACTACTGCTCCCCCTGTGAGGAACCACAAACTCATGCTGGGACAAATATACATTCCAGCCTCAAGTAGTCAGCCATTTGTGTTTATGATCATTACCTCTTACTAGCCCATTACTGCTGTGTATAGAACACTAATCGCCATACTGCATGTAAAAACAGCACAAACCCTGTACCTTGTTGCAAATGGCAAGGTATCGTAGGGTACCGCCTACCACTTAAAGAACAACATGCAGAAAAACATGGTCAACTAATTGCAGGAATGATTGCAAAATGTTCAGAGTAGTGTGGGCAGATAATCACTGAAGCATCACAAGACTGAGCAGTAAATATGCTAATTTAAATCTGAAGTAAATAGAGGCTTATTCTTTCCTCCTCCTTTTTGCTCATTGCTCGAGCTTTCCTGCAAGTTAATGAAATGCAAAAACACAGCATGCTAATCTTGCATACATCCACATTACCCACCACACTTCATCACAAAAAGACAATCATTAGGTTGGACAGATATTATTGCAGCTTCGAACACCGCAGGCATTTTAAAAGTCTTGTTTGGCCCAGCAAGTTGTAGAGGAGCACAATTTTATTTGCAGCAGGAACTCAAGAAAGAATGATGCAAGCATACATGCACACACACACACTCAACAGTCAATACATCCTTTTAAATCAAAAAGGTCTTCATAAGGTGTGTGGACTGTCACATGTTGGTCCTCATAAATGTAGCTAAGACAGTCCACACACGCCTGCAAGCGAGTGCTGTTGGTATGCATGCTCAAGGACACTTTTGCAGAGACCGCTGAAGAAGCTGATGCTGCCTTCAAATGCTCCATGAAAGCTCAATTTCTGAGTTGCAAATACGATTTGTCACACATTCAAGTGCTCTTAAATAGGCATAACAAAATGAAACCCATTAACCAACACTTTTTTCCAAATGGTGTTAGATGTCTAACTTAAGATTCACATGGCGCTCCGTGAGAAATGAGAAAATGCATCACCAGAATGTTAAAGCCACATATAAAGTCACATATTTACACAGAATGACAAACATGACCGTACAATAATAAATCAGATCAGTCTTGCGTGAGCTGACTTGCAACTTGGCAAGCAAATTCCTAACCTTGCTTAGTATTTAACTCTTTTCCCAGTGGTCTCTCAGCTCCCTCTTAGGACGCCCCAACCCAGCTTTCTCGTTACCCCTCTAACCTTCAGACTAAAGCTGCTACAGTTCCTTTGATGAGCTGCTTCTTCTTCTCTCCCTCCTGCGTGGCTGATGCATGGGAGCATGAGGCCCTGGGTGAATGACACATCTCGATGACAAGGTGAGAATATCTGTGACACAGCCTGCGTCCATTTACCCATCCGGTTCATGTTTTCAGTTACAGTCCAGCACTGACACTTTTTTTGTATCATGTGAAAAGCAAGAGAAGACAGGGATATAATGACATCATTTTCTGAAGTGGAAGAGTGGTCAGGGTTCAAGGTGGTGGAACATCTTGTCTGGGAGCCGCGGATGTTCCAGCTCACTCCCAGCATGCAAGAGTGCTTTCAGTGCACCTTGTGAGTGGCTGAAATCACAGCTGCAGCAAAGGGCAATGAAGTCTGAGATGTAGAGCTGTCATCATCTAAACCATAAATCTCACCAGTCCTTCCATCTGTACGTCCTGTTTCCAGCCTGTGTTCGCCCTGAGGGATGGGGTTTTTTTCCTCACCATGATGGGGATATTTTGCAGCACAACCAGGAAAAGATAGTTTGTACCATAAATTAAATTTGAATTTAGACCAGCAGAAAATAGCTCGGACATTAGAAATGACTTGCACCAGCGTACAGGAAACATGATGTGTGTGTGTGTAGCCTGGTTTTACTCCTGTTGTGGGGACATAAAGCTGTTCACACAGTCACAGTGTGCAAAGTCTACACCCTTATGGGGACATAGGGCAAGTCCCCAAAACATAAGACATTAAAACTAAGTGATGACTTGGTTTAAGGTTAGGTGAGGGTTAGGTTAGGCAAACAGGGCAAGTGTCCATTAAGACAATATAATGTCCCCTCAAGTCATGGAAACACAATGTGTGTGTGTGTGTGTGTGTGTGTGTGTGTTGCCAGTTGTGCTGCTGGTGGTTGCTGGCTGATTTGAGCTAACACAACAGTTTCATTGGTCAGTTTTATGCTTCTTACACACAAAAACACGCACAAAGGTGCGGGCTCACACGCGCTTCACACACGACACACACAGTAGCTCCGCCCCCAGCATACACATCCAGACAGCACAATTCACCTGCAAAGGCAGGTGCAGAAGCGCGCGCGCCATGTGCACGCGCACCCGCACACATCGGCTAATACACGCGAGCGCACAAACACTTTGACACACACTTGTCTGCATTGGCGTTTTCACATTGAAAGTGGGGGAAAGCAGCAGCAGCGGCTTTGGTAATCTAATCCTTCCCTTTGGTCTCTCCTCACAGCAGTCTGTTGAATATACAGAACAGAAGCAGAGGCTGCTGCCTGCAGAGGAGCACAAACACTGCTCTCCAAGCCTGAGAAAAGACATGCAAGCATCACTGGAGTGGAGAAAATGCAGCCAGTCTGCCAGCCACACCACATAATATTTTTACAGGGTTTGTTTTCTTAAATAATAAATTAATAAAAAAAAAAAATCAGTAGGCTATTCTTGCTTGGTCAGGGACCCTGTAGTGCATCAGTTCACACCAACACGACTGACCGATCTGGCAGGAAAAGAAACATCTCTTCTTGCAACTTTACAAAAAAAAAAAAAAGCAAGTATCCTAAATAAGCTAAAGGACTCGTTAACAACAGTTGCAGTAATGAGCGTGATGCCCGAGCTGGAAACAGGGCAAACAGGAGCTGCAGCACCATCCGCAGAACAGCGCATTCATTTGTACAACTTCAACTACACTGAATTACATTGGAAGTGCTGGAACTTACCAATAAGAGCCAGCTGTAAGAAGTACAGTCCGACAAAGTCCATTATGGAGCGCGACATTAATTCAAATGGGTGCAATCCCGGGCGACTGATGATGTGCGAGAATTAAAGCCCAATGTTTGTTGAAACTGGCACCGAATTTTAGACCGAAATAATTGCAGCTATTTCTCAAGTGATGACTGGCCACTTACGCTGACGCCGGAATCCACAGCATAGCATGAAAAAACAGGAGCGGAGCAGAGAACCATTTTTTAACAGTCAAACTTTTGTCATGGAGGAAAATGGGTCACAGTTGCACCAAATCAACCCAGCGGTTCCAAATCAATACGATACCGAGGAGAAAAATCTGTTCGCTCCTTATGTGGAATAAGTCTGGTGCGCGTTCAGCATCCCTGGCCGTTTCACCGGGTCCGTCCTGAGCGACTGCTTCCTCTCCTCTTCGCCTCCACCTGCGCACCGTCTGAAAACTGCGGATGAATCACAGGGGCGCGCTGCTTTGCGCACTCAGACCTGCACAGTCCGAGTGATCCTCTGCTCGCGCGTGGGTCGGCCGGAGATGCCCAGCCCAGCTCGTTTAAGAATCCAATCTTGGCCAAAGTTGAAATAGGACAAGTTCAATCGATAGCCTATTTCATACTGCCATAAAGTGGAAACAATAAGCCTGCGTAAAATGCTGCATAGCCTGTATGGGTGTGTGGACCATATCCACACTTTTACCCGCAAAAGAGAAGCCACCACAGTCAATTTAGCTGAGAATCACTGATTTGAAGGCCGTTAAGGAAATCTTTTAGGGGCCCTACAGCAGCGGCAGCACAGGAGGAGCCAGGCTGACTATCAGTGTCTGTGCCTCTTGAAGTTAAAAATGACGAAACCATGTTGCAGCCAGCATGGGCTGCTTGAGGATACCTGCTGTGGAATGTGCTCATGCTGGTGCCCATCTCCTTTCAGAACAGAACAAAGCATAATCTATTTTGATCTGGGTTTTGAGCTCCTGGGCTATTATTTTGAGAAACTATACTACTATTATTTTAATGAACACTTCATTTGTTTGCACCCAGAATATAATCTATTTAGGCCTATAGAAGAAGCATTCTATAAATCATGGAGATTATTTAAATTCTTCACACTAACAGCTGTTTTAGGTGCATTTTAGCTCAAAGCCTGAATTAGTTTCAAGCTGTTAAACTTCTCTGGATGAGAAATTAAATTTTGAGCTGTTTTTCTACTGGGAGTTGCTTTGCCTCTTCAAGCTTCAGAATTTTTACAGCATCTCAGGGACACTTGCATCCAAAACCTTGTTTGTGCAGAATGTAAGAAAGGCTGACACACAGGGAAACGTGGGAAGGATCATACTTGGTTTCTAAAGAATAAGCTTCAACCTTAGACACTTTCTGTTCAGTGTTTCATTTTTTTCTGAGGCGAGTGGGCACTCTGTTCCTCTCAGGATTAGCTCAGAGTGAGACAGTGTACTGCAGGAGGAGAGCCGTTTCTGCCAGGATGTTGTCAAAGGCCAGCGGCATGTAGAGATGGTTTTTCCACTTTGCTTTCTAAAGTGTCTGCTGGGTCTTTAGCCAGAAGTCCATTTTTAATAACTTACAAATCACAGTATCATATGCATTATGCTGCATTATCTAAAAACAAAACTGTAGAAATATATATATATATATGTCACACGTTTAACAAAGAAATGATTGTAAAGCTTCTCATTCTGCAACATGTTCAAACAAATGTACAATCCTATTGTTCTGCTGCATTTTTCCCCATTCTTGAAGGCAAACTTGGTAATTTTTAAAACTCTTATATTATGATTATAGTCTTTTTACTGGCGGAGTACCCTTGGTTTGGACCCACACACTATAATCTGCAACTAAAAATGTCAATTTAAGGTTATTTCATCAATGACATTGTCACTGCATGGGAGAGGCCGCCCTCACCACCAAAACAACAGTATCAGTCACTGAAACATCAGACGTCAGTTCATACCCTGTCCAGTAACAACAGTTAATGTTGGTTTGCACAGCCTTTCCTAAACGTAACCAAGTAGGCTACTCTTAATCTTCTAAATGTGAACAAACCATCACTAGATTTGTGAGTGGCCTAAAAATACTTGTATAAATTATGTACGAGGTATTTTTCAGGAAGGCGCAAACAAACAACATCCGGCTGTATGTGGGGGTGGGGGGGTCTCATCCCTTCCTGTGAGTAGAGATATGACAGTAACGCAACAGGATTCCATTTGTTCAGTCAGGATAATAGTATGTGATGTCTTTACTTTGGGATGAAAAGCTTTTGTCTGCTGCAGCATTATTTGGTGTTAAAACAAGTGGATCTTCACATTAAATTCTTGCCAAATGCAGCTTTAACAAGAAGCAACACAGATAATGTTTTTTTTTACAGCAACACCAGAGGGTGAGTAAAGTCACAGGCATGGATTTGTACCCTGGTGTTTGTCCAGCAGTGCATCCACAAAGTGGCAGCAGTTGGTAGTTAACTGCCTTGCTCAAGGGCAAACTGACAGCAGTTGCTGTAGGAAGGCAGAACAATACTTATTTTCCAGAACAGGTTTTCCCAGAAGGCTATCAGAGTTCCACCTAGCCTAGAAACTTTCCCGACGCCCAGTGCATGCCAAAAAAAAAAAAAGGAATATTGATCAACACCTCGACGACCCCCCGAGACTTCTCTCCTGTGCCTTTAAGTTTGCTCCAGCTCTGTATCCCTCTCAAAAAGCAGCCTTGCCCTTACAGTATTTGCAATGCTGATGTCATAAGCCAGCAGAGGATGTGGGACAGGTTCTATCTGGGTTGGCCATGAAATGGTACAAAAATCTTACCACAGGCTGATTAAGAGGTGTTAATGCATTCAAATTAATGCCAGCTCCTGAGTTTGGTTTGTGTGTCTGCCAGTATGATACACAGTCTCACAGACACAAAAAATTAGAGGGAGAGACTGAGGTGAGAGAATGAGAAAAAACAGAGAGATGTCATGCTGCACCGCCTCAGCAGTGCGACTCGCTGACTCTGATGGAGATGCTTTGTAGTTCCGCTATTTACCCAATGATAGAGCGGAATTGGGCATCGGAACAGCTTTCAAGGCCACAGCACATGCACAAAGACTTGCTGTGTAATGAAGGCACAGTTACATGATAATGTCCCAAGGCTGATGACAGTGATGATGCTGTGTCTTCAACTTGTTAGACTCACACTGCGTCTCACTATGTGCTTCTTCTGTTGTTTTACCTGCAACCTTTTAGTGAAAGCTTACAGAGATTTGCACATGGGTAAAGAAATAAACTCTCTCCAGCCATAGTACTGAAATATATAGTGCTAAACTAGTAGTGTGCTCCAGAGCACATTTCAAATGATATAGTAATCACAGTACAGGAAGTGCTACCAACATTTGTGTACAAATAATTAACCATCTTTTTTGACAACCAGCACTGTACGAGAATATTGGAGCACTGTGCAACCAACCACGAGGGTGCAGACACACCATACGTGATGCTCTGCTGTGTCCATTTTAATTGCCTTCTCTATTTTCATTGCAGTTGTTCATTCTGAGTAAAGACTGGGCTTGTAAAACACTTCAGCCCGCCATGTTGTTTTCCTGAGCCGCTCTGTGTACAATAGTGGTTCGGCTGAGTCTGCGGCTCCTTGACTAGTGATTTGTATCACTGACTTTTAGAGCGCAGCCTTAACCTTGATTAATAGGGGACTCAAAAGGTTAAATGACAGTTATGACAGATACCTATAGTAATTTTTCATGTACTCTCTAATAGGAGCAACAGTGGAAATGTCCACCTTGTCTCATTACTGAGTAAAATACTAAGGTGTAATCACATTCTGTCATTGGCTGTGGGGCTGAGATGGCTTTGAGAGATGAACCACATCTAACAAGTCTGTGCACTCACTGTGGTAGTTGGAGGGTTTGTGGACCTCTAGCTCTGTAGATCATCAAGACATGGTTTGCTGTTTTTTTTTTTTTTGAACAGGAGTAAAAACCCAACTGTGCATTTGCTTGTCACAGTGGTGGTGTTGCACTGGTCACAAGCAGGCCATTTTTTTTAAACCTATGCTTTGTAGCAGCCTATTGTGGCGTTCTGTCCAGTTCATAACACTTTACACTCCTCCCCTTGGGCAGAAACAGAAGCCTGTGTTTGGACTGATGGCACTTTCCTGGCCATCACACTGATTTTGTCCCATTTGCAAATTCTATCCCTGCTGTGGGTGATATTACCAAGTCACAGCGCCACAAAACATTCCTGGTGTGTTATAGCATTTAAAGGCAGGGGAAGCATTGCTTGTGAGCAGTGATATGAGATATGAGTAGAATGAAACTCAGCATGCCTCATTTGAAGTCCCTGCTTAATCTTTTTAGGTGTAAGAGACCCAGCTGATAGAATTTTATGCAAAGTGTGAACAATGAAATCTATGTACCGAAAAGACCTGACTGATGTTTAAAATGCATTTTGAGCTTTTTGCATTCCATGATAACCTTCATATGCAGGGAAGGACAAAAAATACATGCATTTAAGCCATGTGCTCACAGAAACAATGTTTAAGTACTTGCACTTAAAATCTGCTTGATGTTTTCCCAGATCCTTAATCTTTTTGCAATCTGTCTACATACTGTAACATTGCCACTCTTCCTCCATACTGTAACTTTAATTTGCCTATATCTGCCTGCATTGTACAACATATACATTATATCTGGAGTGGTGGTGGTGGTGGGGGTGCTGGAGCCAATCCCAGCTGACGCTGGGCAAGAGGCGGGGTCCACCCTGGACAAGTCGCCAGTCTATCACAGGGCTGACATGTAGACAAACCACAACACACACTCCTCCCATGGGCAATTTAGAGTCACCAATCAACCTAAGCTGCATGTCTTTGGACTGTGGGAGGAAGCCGGAGCACTTTGAGAGAACCCACGCAGGCACAGAGAGAACATGCAGCCGGGGCTCAAACTCAGAACCTTCTTGCTGTGAGGCGACGGTGCTAACCACCGCGGTGAATAAGTACTAAGTACTACTTATTCATAGGCTATGTTAAAAGGACTCTGAGAGACTCTGAATGTTTGTGAATACAGCCCGAAGGCCTATTAGCTTCTGCATGCTCCATGATGTTCACCAGCTAGCTATGCCTGCCTCCTCTTTGGTGCTGAGCAGTGAGTTTTTGAGGCTTTGACTAGAGCTTTAGCTCATAGTGCAGCTTTGTAAACCTGAGGGCAGGTGCTGATTCTCTGTGTTCACCACAGCTGTATCAGTTCCCCCTTTCTCACTGTCACATTGTTTTCACGCTGTAATTTAATATATCATGATTCAAGGAATCTTTAAGACAAGGAGCTGAATACCTTTTTCACCTCAGCTTATATCTCACCTGAGAAACTGTCTATTCATAACTTCAGAGAAGATGCAAGTGCCTGTGCTGCTGGCTGCAACAACAATCAGAGCTTGTAGCAGGCAACATTTTTCTGCTTTGCCCATGTAGTTATGGGCCACGTCATCAAGCTACCCACTTCTCACTAGCCTTTCCAAGAATGAAAACCCTTTGAAGATGAAACTGAGAATGACAAGCCTCCCCTGCAGTGGTGCCAGTGTACTGCAGCATCAGCTTCTGCTCTCATCGCAGGCAGAAGCTGTAACCAGAAAGCTGGCAGAAGCAAAGCCGAACGCAGGCTACCAAACAAGGCTGTGGTGTGCATCATATCTGGCCATAGCAGCGGGCAGACGAATGTGCCCAGAAACAAGTGAAAACAAGGACAAAAGAAAAAACCAACTAAAATA